AATTCTACATATTTGGTTAGAGATTAAAATGCAACCCTTTCATCTGTGTAAAATGAGGGTTTGAAGAGCTCTTCATTTAATTAGAATACATATCAGCTTTAATGTTATTTGGGAGTTGAAAGATTACGGGAGTGACGGGATCAAGATTAAAAAAATTGCAGGAATTACCAAACTCATGCAACGACTCGGCAACTTGCTTGTATTTTAGGATATGAATGCAAATTATATCGACATGAAACTTTACCACTTTAATACAACTCCAACCCCTCCCTAACCTCTAACCCCAACCCTCCCAACCGCTTTATTACAACTCCAACCCCACCCTAATCCCAAACCCCCCACCGCTTAATTACAACTCCAACCCCAAACCCCCCACCGCTTTGATACAACTCCAACCTCTCACCAACCTAAACCTCTCAACCGCTTTATTACAACTCCAACCCCTCCCTAACCCCAAACCTCTACACCGCTTTATTACAACTCCAACCCCTCCCTAATCCCAAACCCCACAACCACTTTATTACAACTCCAACCCCTCGCCAAATTTCATACCCCCTGAACCCCACGCGAGCCATCACACCCCTATACTGTATAATCACTGTATTATTGTGTATTGTCATGCCTTCAATACAATGTACTGAACACACGTGAGGCAGATACCTCAAAGATAAGGTATTTATTGGGTGCCTTAGAGTGTGTTTTGTGTGTTGCTGCCTTGTACGCTGCTAACTACACACACACACACGTACACATCAGTGACACGTTCTATGAATGAATGAGTGGTTCTGTGTGCCGAGTGTGCGTGTGAAAACGTTCACCACCATCACCTGCATCACTGCCACACCAGTCATTATTGCACTGGATTAGAGTTGGTGTGTTGGTGACAGTGTTGCTGCTGTTACTACTGTTGTTTCTGCTGCTGTTGTTACTGCTGTTGTTGCTGAAGCTGCTGCTGTAGCTGCTGCTGCTGCTGCTGTTGTTGCTGCTGCCGCTGCTGTAGCTGCCGCTGCTGCCTCAAGCGGAAGTCTCAATGGGAGAAAATAAGCGGGAGCGGGCTTGCTGTGTGGGGGTTGGGGGGAGGGGGGGGAGCGGGAGTAACTGCTCAATGGGTGAACTTTGCGGAGCTTGTAGTGGGGGAGTGTGGGGTTTGAGAGAGGAAGAGAGAAGGTAGGTAGAGTGGGGAAAGCAGGAATAGAGAGAGGGGAATGTTATGGTGGTCTGGGAAGACAAATTTACGAGAGAAATAGGGGGTGTGAGAGAGGGAGGCAGGGGTGGGGGTAGACAGTTCGGGGGCGTGAATGAAGGCATGTTCTGCTTGGCCCAGCTAGTTTCACTGTGGCGGTCGTGAGGGAGGGTGTGCGTCGCGCCGCTCCGTATACATGTTTGGTGTGGTTCCCACAAATGTCAATTTTCGTGTTATTCTAGCCGTGATGAGCTGAAGTGTATTGCTCATGTGTATGTGTGTTGTGTGCTAACATCAAAGTTTGTTCGTTAGAAGTCGAAATGAATCACATTCGCTCGGGCTTCTTTCACCCGCCGCTGCGCCGCCGTTCGACATGAAGCGCTAGATGCTCCTAAAGGAAACGTCTTGCGTTAATACCTGCATCTCTTTTAGTCTCTATCTCTTTAATGCTTATTCATATCAAACTATTGTTATTATTGGCACCCAGCCTCACTGGCCCAGTAGTTAATATAACAAAAAACAGCTCATTTTAATATTTTAGAATGGGGAGATTCTCGCTACTTCGCTCCTTGCATCGGTCGCGATTTAGATCCTTCTCTCACGAACTGCTATTCTATCTTATCGCTCGCTCTCTTTCTCTCTTTCTGTATCCTTCAAGCCACTCTTTTCCCAACTTCATTCCTCTTTCTTTTAGTTAGTCGATGAGTAAATTTGCGGGCACTTATTTACATATTTCTTGTATCCTCTTACCTGTACTTGAGTCAGGAATAATGTCCAGTCACTATCGAAGTAATGTCCTGTCACTATCGAAGTAATGTCCAGTCACTATCGCAGTAAAGTCCTGTCACTATCGAAGTAAAGTCCTGTCACTATCGCAGTAATGTCCTGTCACTATCGAAGTAAAGTCCTGTCACTATCGAAGTAATGTCCTGTCACTATCGAAGTAATGTCCTGTCACTATCGAAGTAATGTCCTGTCACTATCGAAGTAATGTCCTGTCACTATCGCAGTAATGTCCTGTCACTATCGAAGTAATGTCCTGTCACTATCGAAGNTAGGATACTCTTGCACCCTAGTGTAGGATACTCCTGCACCCAACATAGCCTTGCACTGATGATTAGATAAGGATTAGATAATGACAAGATATTGGTAGGATAAATGGAAGCCTCTTGCACCCTAGTGTAGGATACTCTTGCACCCTAGTGTAGGATACTCCTGCACCCAACATAGCCTTGCACTGATGATTAGATAAGGATTAGATAATGACAAGATATTGGTAGGATAAATGGAAGCCTCTTGCACCCTAGTGTAGGATACTCTTGCACCCTAGTGTAGGATACTCCTGCACCCAACATAGCCTTGCACTGATGATTAGATAAGGATTAGATAATGACAAGATATTGGTAGGATAAATGGAAGCCTCTTGCACCCTAGTGTAGGATACTCTTGCACCCTAGTGTAGGATACTCCTGCACCCAACATAGCCTTGCACTGATGATTAGATAAGGATTAGATAATGACAGGATATTGGTAGGATAAATGGGAGCCTCTTGCACCCTAGTGTAGAATACTCTTGCACCCTAGTGTAGGATACTCTTGCACCCTAGTGTAGGATACTCCTGCACCCAACATAGCCTTGCACTGATGATTAGATAAGGATTAGATAATGACAGGATATTGGTAGGATAAATGGGAGCCTCTTGCACCCTAGTGTAGGATACTCTTGCACCCAACATAGCCTTGCACTGCACAATACTAGCCTTGTGGCAGGACTGCTCCTATAGGACAAAGCCTGCCTCGGTCCACTCTTGACGTCGCTACATATACGGCCTCATATCATTTTATTATAATATTCAAATGTTATCACATGTCGATATTTATATCAGGAGAATGTATTTATTCTCCTAAAATAAATGTCACTGCGAGAGGAAATGTTGCACATGTTTAGAAGTCACTTTACAGAGTCTCTTGAAGCCTTGATCACCACTGGCTATCATCATTATTTATTGTGTATATATGCGATTCATATATATTTAATTATATATATATAAGCATTGAATGACAATATCATCTATCAATTCAGCATCGAGTATTCAGTAAAGTCATCCATGTATGCATTACCTGATGTACAGTACTACACTATTAATCGAGTATCCAGTAAAGTCATCCATGTATGAATACCTGACGTACCGTGCACTATTCACCGCAAGGTTTTCATCCTATGGAAAACATTAATTGTGCTTGCCTCTCGTCTGTAGGTTGCAACATTCAAAATGGTATCATAAATTAATGGAACCATGATGTGGTTCGCAGCAATTCACAGTACGGTACCGCGTTCAATTGCGGTTCATACTCTGGTTCGAGTTGCACTGCACGAGTTGAACTGCATTGTTGCGTTAAATGTTGTGATGGCGTTAAAGGTGCTATTGTTATGCCTTATATACTGGGGTTTGTGGGGCTGTGGTCCTTTAGGTGCATGCACCGGCAGTTTTATGTGTGGGGCTGTGGTCCTGTAGGTGCGGGCGCCGGCAATTTGATGTGCGGGGCTGTGGTCCTACCGTGAGGTACCCTGATATTGCTTCGCTATTTCGTTACGTTCCCTCACGTGCAACGTTTATGGTCGTGATTCAACGTCAATTCAACGCTTGTGTGGGACCTCTGTGTGGTCCCGTGTGAGGTCCGCCCGTCGTACACGCAGCATATATTTTTGTCAGAATTTACTTCAAGATCATTACATTAATCCCTCATTCTATCGCCTTTTACCTTCCGTCACTTCACGTCACCGCGCGTTTCCAATAAATTGTAATGACAAAAATTATTCGCGGATCTTCTCTTCGTCGGTTCGCGAGTTTCTGAGGGAGACAATCGGCACATTTTTACTTGCCCGCGCAACTCGATCGTCAGTAAGAGTGTGGGAAGTGTTTGTAAGCACTTAAACGATGAAAACTTACTAAATAATTAATATATAAATACTTGAATAAGCACTATCAATCGATCGCTTCTCCGTCGCGTATTTCATCTATCCCTGCTAAGGTCTGGAATTAAACACCTCCTATAGATAAAGTATTAATGTACCTGCTTAGGCGGTAGTATATAAAGCATTATTATTTATGTCCTCTGCTAACTGATCAACTGGACAGACAGCGCGTGGCACTCTACGTACGCTGACATCAGCATGGCACTCTACGCTGTCATCAGCATGACACTCTACGCTGTCATCAGCATGAATGCTGTCGGGATCTGAAGAATGCGCTCACTCGCTTCCGCCCGTGAGATCGTCTCAGCGAGCTTTGTTTCATGCGCACAGTTTTGCTGACCAGTCTTCAGGTCTTGTTTCTAGACCTTGCTTTGCTGCCTCAACTCTGACGGACTTCGTAATGCAAACATGGCACTTTACATTCTTTAATATTTGCTTGTATTTCATTGCGATGTTCTGTGAACATTTTTTCATTCGGTGGCGACAATAGTTAGGTGGCTGGGGCATTCGTTTTGACACAGCGACGATAATAATAGTTGAAAATAAGATAATTAATTGTTGAAAATGTTCAACTGAATTCCCAAAAAAAAAACAAGCCGATTTTGAATTGAAAAAAAGACAGTGTGCGCTAATCCTTTTTTAAGTAAAAAAAGTTATACATCTCTCTTTAAGTACGTCTTAGTAGAGGTCGTATTCTTTATTTCTAATTAAATCGTTCACTAACATCATATCTTTCACTATTCATTATTTATGATTAGTATTGAAAAGCATCTTGAAGTGGCGTAGTGAGCTGAAGCGTTATATTTCTTCAATAAACAATATATTTCTTCCTCAGGTATAATGTTACGAGAGAATAGGCTCGTCGTTTACTAAAGTTAATAGATGTACGTTTAAAGAATTATTTCATGGCATATCTTGATAAAATGCACGTGTTATCTTGCTCGCTTTTTACATTGCAATTACCGAGAACAATCTTTGCTCCTTATTGGTATATGTATTATAGATACTTGTCATGGTATCTCGTTTTTGATCCTTGAAGTTAACGCCAGTGTATTTATTCAGTAAAGTCCTGACTAATAATTAGTGAGCTATACAATAATGATGGTGCCATGAAGTGTCACCATGTAATGATGACATTACTGTGTGGTACACCATCATCTCATAGTTCCTCTGAAAAAGTTGCGTGTCTGTGAGTGTGAAGTGTTTGTGAAAATTTTTGCGTTACTTCATCGCCGGATCGAATTGCTCAGGAAAAAACGAGTATATACCATTTTATATCGTGATTCAAATATCAATAATACTCATCATAGTTTTAGTTTACCTAGGCTCGATCGTATCAGAACTTACGATCATCGTAGTACCTACGATCACCGTACAAACAAAGTATCGAGAATGCAGCGTCTGTCCATAGGACAGCTGCTGCAGTGACACCAGTGGCCGATGGTGCGGCTAGTGACCACTAACAGCTACTGTATTAGCACTAGTATTGGTTACGCTACTAGTGGCGTAGTGACACACTTTAATGATGTTCTCAGTGAGAGGTGGTTCTTATTACTCAGCCCTCATTGAGCCCCGGGACGACAGTGCACAGCCTGCCACCAAGGGCGGCCTAGACACGTCCTTATATTCGGGTGAGTCTTGGTAACCCTGTTATTAAATACCGTGGTAACTCTATTATTAAATACCGTGGTAACTCTATTATTAAATACCGCGGTAACTCTATTATTAAATACCGTGGTAACTCTATTATTAAATACCGTGGTAACTCTATTATTAAATACCGCGGTAACTCTATTAATAAATACCGTGATGACTCTATTATTAAATACTAAATTTCTATTATTAAATACCGCCCTATTGATATAATTAATTCCCATGTTATTGGTGTGATTAATTTACTTTGTAGTTGTGGGATGTATTAGTACCTTCCTAATGCTATAGTTAGTTAGTTACACTTCTAACGTCCTTGTATTCGGGTGAGTCTTGGTAATTCGTTGTATTTCTATTATTCAAAACCGTCGTATTGATGTGATTAATTACCAACCTATTTATTAATTGATTAATTATGATTAATTGTTTAATTTCCTTTAATTCCTAATGGTATGGTTACACTTGTTATATATAATAGCACTCACGTTATTAATTGATTTAGTCTTCACAGTATATGTGACCGCCTCGAGTTGTATGCCCGCGTCGATATGCATTATAATATGTATTCTAATTTATTCTCATCACACGATAAATTTCAATCTTCACCACACCCTCATCACTCTCGTCGGTGTCACCTCAACATCGTGTGCCATCACTACTTTATTCCTTTGCGTATATTTTTATACGAGTGTCTATTTATATTATTATTATATATAGTATTCAACTAATATATCATATATTATTATTACATTATATTGTTGTGCATAATATTCTCTCCTAATAGATTATCGTGAGGTCTGAGTATGAGATTGAAATGTACGCTACTGAAATGAATAGAAAAACTCTTGTATCAACACTACAACACACATCATATAAACATTGCACATCATAAACATGTTCCTGTTCAACGTCGCGGTAACGTGGGCTGAGCTTTGCGTGAGGTGCGAACTGCAGCATGGCATGTCATGCCACGCATCACAGCGCGTGTCATGCCACGCATCATATAGTGCGTGTCATGCCACGCATCACAGTGCGTGTCATGCCACGCCATCACAGCGCGTGTCATGCCACGCCATCACAGCGCGTGTCATGCCACGCCATCACAGCGCGTGTCATGCCACGCCATCACAGCGCGTGTCATGCCATATCACAGCGCGTGTCATGCCACGCCATCACAGCGCGTGTCATGCCACGCCATCACAGCGCGTGTCATGCCACATCATCACAGCGCGTGTCATGCCACGTCATCACAGTGCGTGTCATGCCACATCACAGCGCGTGTCATGCCACATCACAGCTCGTGTCATGCCACATCACAGCTCGTGTCATGCCACATCACAGCACGTGTCATGCCACATCACAGCGCATGTCATGCCACATCACTGCGCATGCCATGCCACACATGCGGGAGGGGGGCTGTCGCCCCCCTGAGGTGGGGACGCGGAGTGGCTGCGGCAGGCCACCTTTAGCCGCCTTATCCTGCACACTGCCTGCCTGGTCTGCACACTGCCTGCCTGGCCTGCACACTGCCTGCCTGGCCTGCACACTGCCTGCCTGGCTTGCACACTGCCTGCCTGGCCTGCATACTGCCTGCCTGGCCTGCACACTGCCTGCCTGGCCTGCACACTGCCTGCCTGGCCTGCAACTGCTAGTGTAGTGCAGTTGCATAGTTCCACAACTTCCCTACAGACATGGTACAAGCTGACGCAACTGGAGAATCGAAATCAAGTGAAGCCAGAGTGAGGTTACAGGATGACGTGTCGACAATTTACTATTGGCCCGACGAATAATATGCAATTCAACGACACCAAGCTCGATATAATAAGAAATAGAGGCGGCATAGAGGTTTTGTTGCTGCGTTGCTACTTGACAACGAACGCAACTTGTTCGTGATCATGACGTATAAATTATTACTGAAATTACCTTTGATCGCGACAATATGAAGACAGACCACAGATGGGGTGCAGGAGGGGCAGTTGCAGATGCAGGAGGGAGGTGCAGGTGCAGGAGGGAGGTGCAGGTGCAGGAGGGTGGTGCAGGTGCAGGAGGGTGGTGCAGGTGCAGGAGGGTGGTGCAGGTGCAGGACGGGCAGTTGCAGATGCAGGTGCAGGAGGGGCAGGTGCAGGTGCAGGAGGAAGGTGCAGGTGCAGGAGGGAGGTGCAGGTGCAGGAGGGAGGTGCAGGTGCAGGACGCTGTGCCCTGAAGGTACGCAGTAACGGATACTTCACCACTCGCCACACCACTTCACCACGCCTGAAC